ACGCACGCACGCACGCACGCACGCACGCACGCACGCACGTACGTACGTACGTATGTAATAGAGATGTGGTGGCGCTGCAGGTTAAACCGCAGAAGCCTCTGCGCTGCAAGGTCGGAAGACCTGCCGTCGTAAGATCGAATCCACGCGACGGAGGGAGCTCCCATCGCTTGTCCCAGCTCCCGCGAACCTAGCCATTCGAAAGCATGTAAAAATGCAAGTATATAAATAGGTACCACTTATTTATGTTAAGTCCAGCAGGGTTTCCGCTTGCATCCTGGGTACCACCAGTAATTTGAAGGCTGGACTGGCATCAGGGGAGGTATATACTCACCAGCACCCCTTTCTCTTTGCAGTACTGGCTGGCTGCTTTCTCCTCCCGGCTGAGGGCAGACATAGCCTGTTTGAGCCGCTCGTCCAGGTCTGATGATTTACAGAAGAACCCGAAGAATTATGAGATCCCCTTTTAAAAAAGGAAGAGGGAGAACCAGCTCTAAGGCAGATGCATCACTGGTTTGATGCAGGAACAGTTGCTCAAAAAACTTGAGAGTTTCCAAAACCTCAGTTTGGAGCCTCAGAAGTTGGAAAATTTTTTTAAAAAATGCATCCACACCAGCTAGAAGATTCTGGGAGCTGTTCGGCCACGGAGAACACTTGCTTCCAGGTTCTGGGTTGGACCCACAGGCCCATCGTTAGGGACTGATGGAAGACGTGAGAAGGTGGAGGTGCTCACTCTGACCCCTGTGTGGACATGCGGGTTGGAGCATTTGGCAGATATTTGGCTTATGGACTGGATTCCCAACTGGTGGAGTGGCAGCGTGTTGAACGGCACCAAAGAAATCTTTGGTTTATTTCATAAACGACATGACGGTTTCCTGCTGGCAAAAGGGTGGTGGTGGTGAGGATTTCTCCCAGCCTGGCCTTCTGCACAACGGAATGAGCAAACAGATCCCGAATTGCTGTGGTAACAAGGCTCTGGTTGAGCTGGAAGACAATGGACAGGCTACACGGTTGCGCCCTTTCAATGGGCTCCAGGCCCAGAATGTACCCTGATAAGGACCATACGGTCATATTGTGTGCTTAGGGAGGGGCCTTTCCTGAGATCCAGGCCAGAAGGCAAAGGTAACACGGCTCAGCAACTACCACTACCACCACCACCACCCCCCAGGGCCATCTGGCATTGGGGTAAAAACATCATCTCTACCTCATCACGCCTTGATTGGGAGGGTCCTCGCTTTCTTGCCACACAGGAGGACTTTACCACTTCCAGCTCTTCCCACCCCAGGGACTCCATGACAGAGCTAAAAAACCGTCTCCCTGTCTCCCAGTGGTAATGGAAGAGGCTGGGAGGTGGAGTCAGCAGCAGCCCCACCCCCTTGGACAGGTGCGGCCACACCCCCTGCCCAAGGTGTGACTCCAGCAGGTGACGGAGCAGCCCTTCCCCAACGTGGCACCTCCAAAGGTGGGAAATAGCCGCTCTGTTACCCCAAGATTCCCCAGCTTGGCTCCCTTGAAATTCTAGTGCCTCGTAGGGCTTACTCGCAAGGAAACTGCCATCAGGAAGCAGTTTTGACCACATTCCTAGGGGAAAAGAAGTCAACAAAACTCAAAAGCTTTATCTTTAGGACTCCAACTCCCAGAATTTCCCTAGCCACAGGCAAGGGGGGATTCTGGGAGTTGTAGTCTTCCCCTACCCAACTTTTCCAGGTTCTGGAAAGGCCACGTCAGGGACTGCCAAAAGGGTGTTCCCCTTTAAACT